CACTTGAATATGCAGTGATCATATATCAGATGGTTTTCATTAACACTGGGCATGGGTGTAGCTCAATGGTAGTGTGCTTGCCTGGTATAGGCAAGGCCGTAGGTTTGGCCCTTAGCACCACAATATTACATATATAGATAGACACATACATATATGTACAGATATATGTATCTGTAGCTATCTATCTATATATCTGTATATCATAGCATGCTGTAATGAATAGGATTTTTTTTTAACAACAGAAAACTGTGAGAGCTGGTGGAATGATTACCCAGCCAGATTTTACCTGCTCTGAATGAAAACAGGTCCAAAGTACCGGGAGAGCGCTCATTAGGAACACTAGCAGCTTTGAAGGTCAGGTTGCTCCCACACTCAAAGCAGTGGTCACTTCTTGTCCCTCCCACTCCTGGTTTGTGCCTCTCTGCCCAGCACAGCTTAAGGTGAAGGGAAAACGGGCAGGCCAGCTCCTGGGGAAGATCATTTACCAAAACCTTGTTATTGCCAGATACCCTGTTTGCCTGGTAACTTGATTCCTCCGTGGATCTCCAGCTCCCACGGCTGCCCATCCTGGGTTGAGTGTGGCTAGGGTGTGTTTATTCCTCTGATGTTAAAGCCTGGAAAGATTACAGCGGCAAGTCTGGGTAAACCACATTCGTGTAGCTACCAATGTACTGTTTGTTGTATTCACTGCAGTGCATAGCACTGTGAAACGACAAACATGGTAACATCATGTCCAGAGCCTGGGTTGGGGAGGCTCCTTTAGCAGGGCCTGGGAGGGGAGGGTAAATATTTGGGTTGGGGTTCTGTGATGTGGTTGTGAGTCTCAATAAGTCGTTTCTTTCATTTAATATTTTAAAATTCTGAAGAAAATGCTAGGACAGAGTTTAAGGGGAAAGGAATTATAGCAGAACCGGGTTGCTGTGTTTCAGTGAAAATCAGTGGGTTGTTTTTCAACATTAGTTCTGTGCTGTGGTCTTAAACAGAAGCTAGGTATTCTGATCTTAGCAGAATTGAAAGATAGGCAAAATTTAGAACCCCTGAAGCTGTAAGAGATAGAATGCTCACTGCCTCGGTCTGAGCTCTGAGAACCACTAGCCCAGTACAATGGCTCGGGGTAAAGGGGGGCCTCCACAAACAAAAGTAAGTGAAGTCTGGGGACCAGTGTATTTATGTCACAGATAATTCTTCTTAGTGAGACAGATTGGATTTACAAATGACCAGTAGTGTTAAACGTTTCCAAGACTCACCAAATTTAAATGAGATAATCGGCATACAAAGCCAACACCTTTAATTGTTTTTTGTTTTGTTTTGTTGTTATTTGTTTGTATGTTGGAGACAGGGTTTCTCTGTGTAGTCCTGGCTGTCCTGGAACTTGCTCTGTAGACAAGGCTGGCCTCGAACTCAGTGATTCCTGTCTCTGTCTCCTGAACACTAGGGTTAAAGGCATGTGCCATCATTGCCTAGCAATCTTTAACTCTTATTTTTTCTGGCCCAAAGTCTACATTAGCATTAATGAAGGAAATAAAAGCTAATATAACTACACTAAAGATGCCAACATCAAAATTCTAGTAAATTTTACTCTTAAAAAAGGTAAGTGGAGGCTGGGTGGTTTTGGCGCGTGCCTTTAATCCCAGCACTTGAGAGGCAAAGGCAGGGGGACCTCTGTGAGTTCGAGGCTAACCTGGTCTACAAGAGCTATTCTATGACAGCCAGAGCTACAGACAGGCAAATCCTGTCTTGAAAACAACAACAGAAAGTTAGGTGGAGAGTGGAAGGGTGTCTCAGTGGCTAGGAGCACTGAGTGCTCTTGCAGTGGACTTAGATTCAGTTCCTGGTACCCATTAGGTGGCTTACAACTGTCCATATATCCAGTTTCAAGGGATCTGATGCCCTGCTTTACCTCTGTGGGAAGTGGAAAGCAGGCACACACACGCACACACACACATGCATATATGCACGCAACACTCATGCACATGAAAATAAATGATTTTTTGGTAGGTAACAGCTAGGGGGATGACTCTTGTAGGTAACAGCTAGGGGGATGACTCAGTGGGTGTGCGGTACAGACCTGTGATCCCTGAACTGGACTGCAGAAACGAGAGTTCCCGGGGCCAGTGAGTGAGCTCCGGTTTCCATGACTCTGTCTCAGAGAACAAGGAGCAAAAGAGAAAATCAACCTTTGGCATGTCCATTCATACATGCTTGCGTGTGTGTGTGTGTGCACGCGCGCACACACACACACACACACACACACGCTTGTGCACGCATGCACATAAGTAAATGCTAACCATGTTAATGTTGAAAATGTCCTGTGACTGGGGGAACTGTTCAGAACATTTTACTTTCAAACTGACTTTATACTAAGTTGTCCCCATCATCAAAACATGTACAGCCACAGTAACAAGTACACAGGCGTGACTTTCATGGTGATTGGTTTACAGCCCCCCTAGCTGAAACGAGGGCTTCGTCTTGCACCCTCCTGTGTCTGAGATGTAACATTTAGTGAATGCATTCTGAAGTATTGGTAGAATTGATACACAGTCTAATGAATTTTTGGTCACAGTGATGAGTGCACCATGCCTGAGTTTGGAACCTTGTCCCCTAACCTTCTGGCCTCCTTAGTGAAACGGTGGGTGATTCTTAAAAGAATCCTGGGGATCTAGAGGGGAAGTGGCCCCAAGGTGGTTTAACCTTAACTTACTATTTGATGTAACACTATCTATAATAGCAAAGTACTGGAGGCAACTATTATTTTTCTAGAGCAGCTCCCTGGATTTTCTTTGCTTTGTTTTTGTACCTTTGAATTTTTGTTTTTCAAGACAACATTTCTCTATGTAGCCCCAACAGCTCTGGAACTCAGTCTGGAGGCCAGGTTGGCCTCAAACTGGAGAGATCCATCTGCCTTTAGCTCCAGAGTGCTGAGATTAAAGGCGTGCACCACCACTGCCCAGCAAATTATTTTTCTATTGGCTCAGAAATTATTTGGCTCTTAGGTAGGGGTATGTTTACTATTCCATTTTTTTCCTGGCTTCTTTTAAAACTTGTTAAATATATACACAACCTGCTTAGTTTGTATGTTACTTATTTATATGTGTGTTTTCAAGGCCGACCATTTGGTATTGGATGACAGTCTGGGGGCTCATCCCTGGGAAGACCATTTCTCCAGCCTTCACTGTCCCTTCGCTGTGGAACCTCTCCTAGGCTTCCCCCTCCCACGGTAGCATGTCTGTTGGTGTCTTCCTACTTAGGTCATATTCATGCAGGCATGTAGAGACTTCCTGGATGTAGCTTCCTTGTCATTTCTAGGAGACATGATCTCATAGGAGACTTCCTGTTCTGGCTCTCACATCCCCATTCTGCAATTCCTGAGCCAAAACCACAAATATCGCTACACCCCTTTGTGTCGTCCTCACACAAGGGCCGTGCAGGTCTCTGTATTACTTCTGTGTAGTGTGTGTGCTGTGGGATTGAGCACTGGGTTAGGGACAATAGGGCCCGATGGCCCCTCATACTGTCCTTAGTTTGTTCTGTGACTCGCTATATCGTCCCTGTAGCCGAGGAAAAGAACTGCTATGGTGGAAAGTGTCCGTATTCATTTGCATATTAGTTCCTTGTCAGTTTAAAAGGGATACGGTCTGCCTTGGGTCCAGCCGGCATGGCGTGGTGTCAGGAGTGGAGTGCTGGTCACATTGCATACTGTTTTTATATCCTCCACTTTTGCCATCTCTGTTTGTATGAGTTACTCAGTTTTTGTTTTCATTTATGTGTTTGGGTAATTTGCCTGTGTATGTACCGCATGAGTACAGGGCCCAGGGACGTCAGAACAAGGTGTCGATGCCCTGGGACTGGAGTTTCAGATGGTTGTGAGTCTCCATGTGGCTGCCAGGAATTAAACCAGGGTCCCTGGAGGAGCAGCCATGCTGTGGCCAAACAAACACTGGACAAGCAACTAAAAGGGGGTGTGTGTAGTGGTGCATAGCTATAAACCCAGACTAGGGAGGCAGAGGCAGGAGGATCAGAAGTTCAAGGCTAGCCTGGGCCACAGGAAACCAGTCCTCAGTTACATGTTGAGTTCAAGGCCAGCCTGGATTACAAGCAGTTTCTGTCTCAAATCAAAAACCAGACAAAACCAAGGAGATGAGATGGGTTAAGAGCGAGGCTGCACACACTGGAGGGACAAGCTGGTGTCCACTGCCTCCCACACGGCAGCCCACGCTCATGAATGAGCTTTCTCGGCTTGCGTGTTTATCATTGGCTGGATCTGGTTCTTGCATTTTCTGCTTAGAAAGTTGTCGCCTAAAGTAAAGTGATGTATTTCTATTCACACTGGCAAGAGATAATCTCCTGCCTTTTAAAAGCAAGTACTTGAGGCTGGAGAGATGGCTCAGCAGTTAAGAGCACTTGTTACTCCTGCAGAGGACCTGGGTTCAGTCCAAGCACCTACATGGCAGCTTGCAACCATCCATAACTCTAGTTCCAGGGGACTGGACGTCCTGTAAGAGCACTGCATGTCCATCACATGAACGCATGCATGTACACATGAAAATAAATAGTTAAAATAGACAGGACTGGACAGCCACAGGAGACACAGAGAAGAAAGACGGAGTGTGGGGGAGGAGTGGGACTCATGAAGGGGGCAGGATGTGTGGGGGCTGCTCACACTTCAGGGTGAAGGCTGTGCCCTTGTCTGAAGTGGGTGGAGCCGACTTTCCAAATGTGTCCACTAAAAGACTGCCTTAGGTCTCATGTGCACCCCGAAGAAAGCTCGGGGTAGAAGAGGAGCATCACAGGGGGCTCTGAAAGATGGAGGTCATTCAGACAGCTCTGGCCTTGCTCTCTTCCCTTTGCAATAATGACTGAAGTGTGTGTGCAGGGGCGAGGGGGTCTCAGTGGCAAAGTGCATGCGTAGCTCACGCAAGAGCCTGGGTTTGCCCCACAGCAACAGATCCATAACAAAGGAGCCAGAGACTTGGAGGAGCAAATCACTTTAAAGTGTCAGAAGCCCTGCTTCTAGAAAGCTCCTCCCCCTCCCTGTTACCCACACGCGGTGGGAATAGCCATCGTTGGGGCCTGTGCTCATGCGGCCAGGTCTTTGGGCTCCTCTGGAGTGAGCTTCATCAGTTTGTCCACACACAGCAGGATGAGCGTGAGAAACCAGAGGCCCCAGCCGACCGCCGCAGCAATCCATCCGTATTCATCCACCGAAGCTCGGCAACACAGGGAGGCTACTGGGCAGAAGTCGATGTCTGATGGGGGAGAGCCAGAAAGGAAGTGTAACACACCAGCCACACTCACTCCCTCTCCAGTTAGTTAAGAAGGAGAACAGTAACACTAGCTGGCCTTTAGAAGCTACTTGTTAGGCATATACTAAGTCTTTGCCATATGCACTCAAGGTATTACCCGCTGTCATTACCACTCTTTGGGTGCTGGGGATTGAGCCCAGGGCCTTGAATGAGCATTCACTCTGCCACTGAGCGACACTGCAGCCCTGTGATAGTCTAGCTATCATCCCTACTTCATACAAAGAAACCCAAAGTGTGCTTTGTCCAAGACCACAAGATGACAGTCTGTAGACCCCAGAGCTGTATTCTCAGCCTTGTGGGTACTCTGCTCACCCCCTCTTTATAAGTGTAGAGATGGTCATTGGCTGAGGACAGGGTAAAGGCCACGGTTGAGATGGAGCAAAACTTCCTGTTGATTGACACCTGTGATAGAAACCCCTCTTGGCTCTCTGGGTGCCCTGCCCCGGGAACGTCTCAGACGCTCAGAGGATGAATGGCATCCACAGAGGAGTCTACAAGCAGCTCCTACTTTGGGCAGGGTTGGATCAACTGGGTTTTTGTTTGTTTGTTTGAGATAGGGTTTTCTCTGTTTAACAGCCCTGGCTGTCCGGGAACTCGCTCTGTAGACTAGGCTGGCCTCAAACTCACAGAGATCCACCTGCCTCTGCCTCCGGAGTGCTGGGATTAAAGGTGTGCGCCACCACGGCCCTGTGGACCAGCTGTTTTTAATAGACTTCTCCGAACGCTACAACATTTTCACTCAGGGCACCTTTGGCTGCTGGCCAAGGCAAGAGTCGTTAACGCCACCTGTGCATGAGACTAAACCGTAATCAAATCCAGGCTAGGTTTTAACCTGCTCTGTGAACATTGCTCCTTCCCCCATTATCTGGGAAGACTAGGCCATCAGTAGGCCACCCAGTAGTGGACAGAGAGGGGCCCAGCTCCCTTCCTAATTCCAGGGCTGGCTGCAGGATCAGGGCAGTTGGTGGGAGAGGCTTACTGGCACACTGCTCCAGGGTCCCAGGCTCTGAGTGGTGTATACTCAGGGTTGAGTTGATGCTGCTGACGTCTGCAAGAAAAGGCAAGAGGTAGTGTCAGGCAGAGAGCAAAGTGAGTCCCAGGTGGAGGGTTTGGATTATTTTGTGCATGAGTTTTGAACTCTAGAAGAGAGAGAGACCATCTGTATCCCAGGAGAGAAGAATAACCCTGCCCACAGCTTGACCTAGACAGCCGAACTCCAGCACGGTGAGCAAGTACCTTCCTGTTAAAGTCAGTGGTGTTTTTATTTCAAGTCCAAATGAAGAATTATTCTCACATTGTTTTTCTCTTTTGGGGGAGGGCTTGGTTTTCTGAGTCAGGGTTTCTCTGTGTTAGTTGCATTTGGTCAGTATTTTGTTCCAGCAATGGAGAAGCAAACTAGGATAGTCTTGTCTTCCATGTCATAGACCTATAAATCTCCCTATACTTATCTGGGTTCCACAAATGAGATAAAATATATGAAATATGTCCTTCACAGTTCAGCTTATTTTGCTTAACATGATTTCCAGTTCCATAGTTCCATCCATTTTCCTGCCAATGATTTTATCTTATTCTTGTGTGTGTAAAGCTCATGCATCTGCACCATATGCCTCTCATCCATTCATCCAACAACAACAACAACAAACCCAAAAAACTCTTCGGGTAAGCATGGTGGCACACTCCTTTAATCACAGCACTTGGGAGGAGGAAATTGAGGGATCTTCAAGTTTGTGGCCAGTCTGATGTATGTAGCAGGTTCCAAGCCAGCCAGGGCTACATAGCAAGACCCCGCCTCAAAAGAAAGAACAGAGCAGAAACAAAAAAGACAGGCTGTGCACACTGCTTCCTGTGCAGACAGCTGTAGCTACAGGGTGGTCATTCGGGTGGGAACTGAAGCAAGCCCCCAACAAGCCAGAATGTCCCTTTCGCGGCAGATTCAGTTTCTTTCCAACACGCAAACAAATAACCCACTGAAATATGACCCCGATTCTTCATCTGTGATGGTTGTGATGTAGTTACCCAGGCTCACATCTCATGTGAACACATCGTCTGCTGCTTTCCACAACAGTCAGTGCTTGTAACTGTCTCCCAGTTGACAAGCGAGGGGCAGGAAGGATGGGGGGAAAATGCTAGAAGGAATTCTAAAATTCTGTCTAGAGTTTGTGGAGCAGTGCTGGGTCATAGAGGCGAATGTTCAGATTCGGGGGAGAAGAGCTGTGTCTACTGTGGCACTCTAGAAAGGAGCTCCTTGCTACTGGAACTGTTTAAGCTGATTAAAAAGACAAAAACAAACAAAGGCACACATTGGTGTTCTGCCTGCATGTATGTTTGTATGACAAGAGTCAGATTCCCTGGAACTGGAATTACAGACAGTTTTGAACTGCAGTGGGTGCAGGGAATTGAACTCAGGACCTCTGGAAGAGCAGCCAGTGCTCTTAACTGCTGAGCTGTCTCTCCAACCCTCTTTTTTTTTTTTTTTTTTTTTTTTTTTAAAGACAGGGTTTCTCTGTGTAGCCTTGGCTGTCCTGGAACTTACCCTGTAGACCAGGCTGGCCTCAAACTCAGAAATCTGCCTGCCTCTTTAAGTTGACTTTTAAGAATGAATTTAAGTTAAAAGTTTGGCTTTCTCCGCCTTAGTCATATTTGAAGTGTGTTCACCACCTGCGGCTGGTGGTCACCTTATTGGAAGCACAGTTCAACCAAAGCACTTACAAGGAAGAAAACTGTCCACACAAAGACAATGCAGGTAGGCAGGTTAAAAGCAGGAGGGCTCTTGTTTGGTTGGTTGGTTTTGTTTGGTTCATTTGTCTCAGGCTGGCCTTGAGCCTGCTGTGCAGCTAAGGAGGACTTTGAACTCGTGAACCCCTGGTTCTCCTGCCTCTGCCTCCTGAGTACTGGGGCGGCAGGTGTATGCCGCTGTGCTGGAGATCGAGCCTGGGGTTTGTGTTAGGCAGGCTTTCCCCCAAGAGACTGACTTTTGAAGAATGGTATTATGGAAATGGTATTGCCGTTTCCATGAAAATGGAAAGGATGGCTCAGGTCTCTGGTCTCTGCGCCCCCACCGCCAGGCCAGCGGGTCCTTGAGAGGCGCTGTTGACACAGAACAGGGTGATTGGGGAAGACCGCATAACCACAACCACAAAATTGCTGCCACCCAGGGCCCAGTCCTTGTGCTGCAGAAAAGTATGGTAATTACCTTGATACAATCTGACTACTGTTGTAAATTATTTACACAGCTTAGAGGTGAGCTTTGTTTTGGAGAAGCTGGTTCCTGGACATTAGAATTTTCCTTCAAAACCAAACCACTTCCTTACCCCTGATCTCATCTCTCCACCTAGGGAAGGATGCTCTGAGGACAGAGGAAGTGGATGGAAAACGCAGTTCGATGCCAGTATTAGGTTAACCCCTGTGAAATTGTCATATTTATTGGCATTTGAGATGTGGTTTCCTAGCCGTCCTGGAACTTGCTCTATAGACCAGGCTGGCCTTGAACTCAGAGATCCGCCTGCCTCTGCCTCGGAGTGCTGGGATTAAAGGTGAGCACCACCACTCTGAGAAGGTGCCATTTTAAGAGGTCAAAGCTTACTCCGTATGTGTCTGGGGTGCTTCGGATGGAATAGCCCTGGAGAGTAGCCCTGGAGAGTTCCCAAGTGTTTGAACATCACCCTTCAGCGTGGCACCGTCGTGGTAGACAGAAGAAAAACAACCACCACAGAACACCCTTATTTGTGGCGGATAACTTGAGAATAGCTTCTGTTCGCTGTGTGCTTGCCACAGTTGTAAATTCTTCCCAAGCTATTAACTCTTTTCTTACATGTAAGTAACTTCATAAATCACAGTTCTGTTTACCCAGAGTTACCGACAAGGAATCTGGGCACAGAGAGGTGAAGTAATTTCCTCAGGATCACACAGCCAGTTACATGGGATGAGGAGAGAGGAGTCTGTGCCTCTGGAGGGTCCCAAGAGCGACCCTACAATCCCCTGAGGAAAGACTCGGGATGACAGACTGTTGAGAGGTTTGTGACAGGAGTGGAGCCTGGCTGAGGAAGCAGAGTCAAAGCCAGGAAGCCGCCTAGAAGCTCAGGTGCCGGGCGCAGTCTGGGAAAGCCAGGGCTCTTGAGACCGTGGGGTGAGAACCCCAAGTTTCTGATGCCTGCCCTGGGACACCCAGAAAGGGTAGAGAGCTGAGGCTAGCTTTCCAGCTTCTGAACTTAGCACAGCAAGTCTGTGTTGGAGGGAACCTCCGCCTGCGCTAAGGGAAGGCAAGGGCCTGGGGGAAATTGCAGGGGGCCACACAAATCCCATCCAACCAGTTTGCACCCGTGATGAGTGGGATACGACCAATCGGCAAATTTGTTTGTTGTTTTTTGTTTTGTGGCAAGGGCCAACAGGGGTGACTGCTGCTGTCCTCGCAAAGGAATTGAGTGGTCACAGACAAACCCAAGACACCCCCAGCTGACACGCGCACCCCACCCCAGGCTCCCCGCTTAATCCTCCAGGGAAACAAGCAACTTCTGTTTCCTCTCCCCGGTGTGCAGGACCAAGCCGGGCCAAGGAATCCTCCCCTCCCCCTCAGTCCTGCCCTCCCCTTTCCAAAGTGGCCAAGAATAAAGCTCAGAACTATTACCTGTACCGTAGGACGAGTGGAAGGAGGCGAGGACCAGGCTGAAGAGCAAGGTGGCCTTCAGAGCAGAGGTGAGGTGCCCAGGGCTGCAGAGGGAGACGCCTGTCTGGGTCATGCTGGCGCGGGGGCGCCACGGGCTGGGGACCATGTGTCCCGTGTGCGCTGTGTTTGAGGTGACTCCTGTCCTGCAGGAGCTGGGAGTCTGTTCAGTGTTTGGGGGGGGGGGGGGAAAGAAAGAGGGTGGAGCCAAAGAAGCTGCCCGTCAAACCCGCTCAGCCTCTGTAACCATGGCTGGGGGAGGGGAGGAGGGGCAATCCCTGCCCTCGGTTGTTTTTGAGGCAAAATTGTTCCCATTAAGGAAACAATTGTTCCTTGGGGCTGAGCTTGCTGTCGCTTCACCTGCAGGTGTAGTGTATATCCTCCAAACCAGTCACTCTGTTACTTATTGGGCACCGACTGTATGCACTGTCCTACTATGCTACAGCCTGCCAACACCCAAACTCCCGTTGCTATTACGAAACCCAGGACCCTGAGCAGCCTGGGGAAATGACTAAAGACTAAGGACTTTGAGCATTAGCAGCCGGAAGTCAAGCCACCTCTTCTGATAGACCGCTTTGGGGGGAAATGACATTTGAACCGGGCCTTGAAGCATGGTAGCGTTTTTTGACAGGTGAAGAGGAGACAGAGTCTGCGGGAGGGAAGACAGACTCGGAGGCCACTGACAGATGGTGCTCAGGAGCCCTTGGCATAGATAAATCTTGGTCAGGATGGGAGTGGGCGGCCTGGAGAGCCAGGCTGAGTACCTCTCTGAGCAGCCTCATCAGGAGGCAAAGGGGGAGGATGTGTGAAGGTGTTGGACTCTGACAGAATCCTACATCCAGTCTAAATGATTGATAGTGAGTGTTCTCATCTAAGTGTCCTTACCAAAGGCAGTACATTCCAAGATCTCAAGTGGATACTTGAAACCATGAGCACTGCCGAAGTGTGCTCCGTGCATGCACGCACATGCACGCACACGCTTTCCTAGAAGTACATACCTATGATAATGTGCGATTTATAGTTACAGTAAAAGGTTACTAGCACAACTAATAATAAAGTACCAATTATGACAAGATATTAAGAAACTATTAAAACTTAGGAATGCTGGCTGGTGGTGGTGTGTATCTTTAATCCCAGCACTCAGGGAAGCAGAGGCAGGTGGATATGTGAGTTTGAGGCCAGCTAGGTCTACAGAGGGAGTATTCCAGGACAGCCAGGGAGATCTGGAGAAACCCTATCTCGAAAACCCAATACTAATAACTTAGGGATTGTTTTTGCAATTTTCCATTTAATATGAACAGACTATAATTGATGACAAGAACCTGAATGTGAAGTTGAGTGCAGTGTGTTGCATACTCACCTTGGGAGTGAGAGGCACCCATGAGCCTAGCTAGCATCTGAGACCCTGGGGTAACTGGGAACTGGTTCCTGTCCTGGAGGAGAGCTCACTCCAGCAGAGAGACCAGGCAGGGAAGACTTTGGGTGCAATGTGGTAAGGCAGTTACGGGAAGACAGTAGGGGAAATGATTGACGGTGGTGAGAGGAGCAGGGGGCGGGCTTACAGAGAAGTGACATTCGGCTGCCGTGGAAATTTGCCTGTGCAGGAGGGGAGTTGTCAGCTTCTTCAGGTAGAACTCGCACATCTAAGTGAGAGCTAAGTGTGGCAGGCCCACCACCATCTGTGCCCTGTGTTCTTGCACTCAGTCAGCCCAGTGAGAAAGTGATGGATGCAGTCCCGCTCACTCAAAACTCTGGAGAAGGACAGCACGCCTGGTCACTCACTTCTGTAACACCCGCACTTGAGAGGTCAAAGCAGGAGGATCAGGAGTTCGAGACCAGCCTGGGCTACGTGGGTGAGGCCTTTTCTACTCCCCCAAAGCACCCACAAAATGTAAAATAAACCAGAAAAGCTCTATTGAGGGGCACGTGTGGCAGCCCGGAAGGGCGCGTGCTTCAGATGTTTCCAAAGGAATATATTAGTGGTAGCCCTGATTTGGGGGATGGGGTAGAAGTGCTTCAGGCAGCTCAGTTTCGGTCTCAGCCAAAAATGTCCAGTGCAAACCAAACAGTGTTTGGGTATTCACCAAGTAGCAACAGTGTGTGCCTGTCCTTGGTTGGGGCCAAAGGGCTTGAGAGAGCATTTCATGACGGCGATGGATGGCGTCCTTTTCCAGCACTTCAGAAATGCATAGCTCACCCAGCACAAGGGCATGCGCAGGGCCTCCAAGATAGTTCCCCTTGTGTAGACAGTGACTGTGGTGTTCTGGGAGCAGGAGCGGGGCCACAGTCTAACTGGATGCACTGAGGACAGACTGTGAGTGGTCCTGAGTCCGTGACAAGGGAAACCGGGCTCTACCTTACAATTGGGAAGCCATCTCTATGGAACTTAACATAGGACGTGTCACGCTTCAGACGAGGTTTGTAAACAGCGTGCAGGGAGATCAGCTCACAGGCTACTTCAGGCCCTGGCAGAGATCACCAGACTCTGAAATAAGAAGGTGGGGTGAAGAGGGCAACAGAATTGAGAGGCACTGGGAGGCCAGATCCCAGACAGGCTGCCGTGCACACACCTGTACTTCCAGTGACTGGGAGCCTGAGGCAGGAGGATGTTGAGATTCAGGCCAACATGTGCACATAGTAAGTTCAAAGTGAGCCTGGGCTGTATACGTATGTAACAGTAATATTTTAAAAGAGGCTATGAATTTGAGAGGGAGTGGGGTAAGGGGGCTCATGGGAGGGGGAGGAGGGAAGGGAAAGTTTTATATATATATGTGTGTGTGTGTATATACATATATACATACATCTATATGTATATGTATATGTATATATGTTACATATATGAATTTTTAAAATAAATGAAATTTTAAAATTTGGGGAAGTGAGGATGTATAGCTCAGTGGTAGAATGTTTGTCTGCCATGTCCAAGGGCCCTGGGTTGTTCTATCCCCAGTACCTCAAAATTAATTAATTAATAAAAGAAGACAGGCTAGAGGTGCCTGAGCTTTTAAGAACATGTACTGTGGGCTGGAGACATGGCTTAGTGGTTGAGAGTGCTTCTTGCTCTCCCAGAGTTCCAGAGTTTGATTCTCAGCACCCTCATGATGACTCGTAATTGTAAAGTCCAGTTCCAAGGGGTCCAATGCCCCTTTCTGACCCCCACAGGCTCCTGCATGCACACAGCATGTTTACATACACTCAGGCACATGAGTGTTTCTTGTTGTTGTTGTTGGTGGTGGTTTTTTGTTTATTTGTTTTTTTTTTCTTTTTGAGACAGGGTTTCTCTGTATAGCCTGTCCTGGACTCACTCTATAGACCAGGCTGGCCTCAAATTCACAGAGGTCCACCCTGCCTCTTCCTCCCAAGTGCTGGGTTTAAAGGTGTGAGCTACCTGGCTCAGCCGTTAAAGGCTAGGCTCACAACCAAAACTAAGTGTATTTTAAATTTATTTTTATTTTTTAAATAAAGACCACACACAGCACTTGCAGATGGCCCACGCTCGGGGCCTTGAAGCCACACTGGGTGGCTTGTGACTGTCGGTAGCTCCAGCTCCAGGAGTCCAGCCCATTTGCAGACTCTGCAGGAAATCTAAGAAATGGCCTCTAAGAAAGGGTTCAGTGGTTATGGAGTGAACCCAACCAGGATCAAATCCCAGCCCTGCCTCTCATGGGCTGGGTGGTCCTGGGCAGGTCATTTAGCGCTCGGCTTCAGTTTCCCTATCTGGACATAGGAAGGTAGTGTCTACCATGTTATTAGAATTGACAGGATAACTAGATGTAGTAATCCATGTAAAAGCACTTGGCGCTCAGAGCAGGTGACTGGTCAGAGCTCTAAGCACTAAGTACCACTTCAGGAGGGGGTTCACCATCAATACAAACCATCAGAGAAATAAGAAAAAGGCTGTCTCAGGGAACAGTAATGCTGTCTATGTATTGGCTTATTCATATGTGCCTTGATGCACGCAGGGTTGCAGAAAGCTTGTTGGCAAACAAGTGAGCGAGGTTAAACAGGTTTGAAGTAATGAGAAATAAAGCAGAGAGAAATTGAACACGGAGTAAAGATAGACCTTAGTGACCTTAGAGCACAGATGTTTCTTGCGTGTCCTGCACTCTGTGGCCTCAGTGTGGGGAGGGTGGCTGGGTAGCCCGGTCACAGGCACCGTTTACTGACTCAGGAACTGGAAATGACAGGAGAAACTTGCAGTTTGCATGCTCTCGGTGCTGTTAAGGCCAAAATAAAACTGTGGCAGGCTGACAATGTGGGCCAGGCATCTGCTCCATGCCCCAGCAGAGCAGACTGAACCTCAAAATGGGGTAATTCACACCAGCATTCCACAGCGCCAGCTGAACTCCTATCTGGCTTTCCAAGGCATCAGGAGATGGCCAGTTTGTAGCCACGTTCCCTGCTTTGGTGCTTTCCAAGAAAGGTAACATGATGTCAATTGCTGACTCATTTTCCCTTTGCTCTGTCCTCCCCTCCCTACCTCACAAGGGCACTCACTTTGAAATGACCCATCTGGGCTTCCTTCATCCTTCCCTGCCTGTACAGATAACTCTTCTACTCAGTGCTTTGGAAAACCCGTTTGGTAGTATAGAATGAGGTGGTGTTCCACTCTGGATCCTAAATTAAGCCACTTGTGATCTTTACATTGTGGGTAATGTTGCTCTCTGATAGTATCAGATCCAGAGAGGAATTTATTTTCTCCCAAAGCTGCTCCCCATAAACAAATTCTTCAATGATTTCCTCCCAATAAACCTTACAAAGCACATTGAAAAGCAGCATTGATTTATCTGTCAGAGCAGGCTAAAAATCTGCAAGACTTCCAAGGATCTCCAAAATGTTTGAGACCTGACAAAAAATGTCCACATATCCAAAATATGAACAGCTAAAAAACAATAAAAACAAAATAAACAAACTTGAGGCAACATGAGTAATATGACAAGCAAGAGATAAACAATTCACTTCAAATATTTAAATATATATATACATGCATATATATACATATACATATATATATATATACACACACATACATATTGTTTCTCAAAACAGTTTCTGCATAGCCCTGGTTGTCCTGAAACTCACTCTGCAGACCAAGCTGGCCTTGAACTAAGAAATCTTTCTGCTTCTACCTCCTGAGAGCTGGGATTAAAAGTGTGGA